ACGATGCTGATCCATTCGGCGCGGCCGATGCGGACGCGGATGCAGATGGGGACGATGCGGACGCAGACGATGCTGATCCATTCGGCAAGGCGGACGCGGATGCGGACGCTGACGCCGATGACGCGGATCCGTTTGGTGCGGTGGACGCTGATGCTGATGGGGACGATGCGGATCCGTTTGGTGCGGCGGACGCGGATGCGGATGCAGATGGGGACGATGCGGACGCAGACGATGCTGATCCATTCGGTGCGGCCGATGCGGACGCGGATGCAGATGGGGTCGATGCGGACGCAGACGATGCTGATCCATTCGGCGCGGTGGATGCGGACGCGGATGCAGATGGGGACGATGCGGACGCGGACGATGCTGATCCATTCGGCGCGGCGGACGCGGATGCGGACGCTGACGCCGACGACGCGGATCCGTTTGGTGCGGTGGACGCGGATGCTGATGGGGACGATGCGGATCCGTTTGGTGCGGCTGATGCGGACGCGGATGCAGATGGGGACGATGCGGACGCAGACGATGCTGATCCATTCGGCGCGGCGGACGCGGATGCGGACGCTGACGCCGACGACGCGGATCCGTTTGGTGCGGTGGACGCGGATGCTGATGGGGACGATGCGGATCCGTTTGGTGTGGTGGACGCGGATGCTGATGGGGACGATGCGGATCCGTTTGGTGCGGCAGACGCGGACGCGGATGCAGATGGGGACGATGCGGACGCAGACGATGCTGATCCATTCGGTGCGGCGGACGCGGATGCGGACGCGGATGCAGATGGGGACGATGCGGACGCAGACGATGCTGATCCATTCGGTGCGGCCGATGCGGACGCGGATGCAGATGGGGACGATGCGGACGCAGACGATGCTGCTCCATTCGGCGCGGCGAACGCGGATGCAGATGTGACGGCGAAGGCTAATGGCGCTAATCCGGCTTATGCGACAGAGGACGAGACCACCGTCACCGACGCAGAGATCGTGGACGCTATCGAGAACATGGACATGATTGCCCTCGTCCGGGCCGCCCGCATTGCGCCGCTCAGGGTTCTCACCGCCCGCGTTACGGCACCCAACGGCGACGCTATTTCGGCCTTCCACTTCTTTGTTGCGCATCGCAAGGCCGACTACCTCGGCGAGCTGCTCGGCTGCCTCGCCGACGCCGCCAAGGGCGCGTCCAAGGACGACGCGGCGGCCTTCCGTGCCGCAGCCTCGACGCTCTCGGCGCGCGGTTACGCGCCTATCCACTTTGCCGCCATCATGGGCTACCTCGAGGCTGTGCGCCTCCTCGTCGACGCCCACCCCGCCGCGGCGCTGGTCTACGACGCCCGCTCGCGCTCAGCCCTCCACTGGGCCGCCCGCTACAACCGCCTCGCCGTCACTGAGTACCTCCTCGACACCGCGTACCTCGATGTTGAGCTCGGCGACAGCGGCGGCCGCTGCCCCGCCATGTACGCCGCCGGCGCCGGCGCCGTCGACGTCCTCGCCCTCCTCTTTGACCGCGGCGCTGATCCGGCAGCTGTCGACTCGCGCGGCAACTCGGTTGCCGACTATGCCACCAACTACGACCAGGCCGAGGCCGCCAAGCTCATCGACGAGTGGGCGTAGCTCCCAGTAGACTCGTTTACAGTGTAGTCTATGGTTGTTGCTGCAGCAGCAGCCTGCCCGTCTCACCCCGATGTCGGCAGCGTGAGGTCGAGCGACTCGAGGATGGCCTCAAAGTTGAACGAGTCCGGCTGGTGGTTAAAGGTGTGGACGAACGGAGTGTACTTGTCGTCTTGCAGGTAGAAGATCGAGGTCTGGTTGCCCAGATACTGCGCCTCCTCCACCGAGATGGCCATCGTGTCGACGCCGCCGCGCATCAGCACAAGATCCTTGCTCTCCGCCAGGTCGTAGTAGTACCGCGTCGCCATCACCGGCGCCGCCTGCCCGCCGTACTGCTGGTAGGTGTGCAGAAAGGTGTACCACACGTCCAGCGCTTGCGTCTCCTCCACCCGACGGCCCTCGAGCAGGACCGTGACAAAGCCCTGATCGCGCGGAATCGGCACGACAAACCGCGGGCTCTCCACCACGCGGCTCGCCAGCTTGGCGCCGACCTCGCCGCCGACCGTAGCGCAGACGACCCCGTCCTTGTCGAGGTGGTGGGCCCGCCACCCCTCGACAAGATCCTCGCGCGGCACTTCGCTGACCTTGTCCAGGTCCAGAATGCCCTCCAGCGTTTCCGGCAGCACCATGCTCGCCGCCGATGCCGCCTTGCGTGCGGCCTCGTCGGCCGCCGCCTCCGAGTACGACGCCACCCGGACCGCGCCGCCCATGCTTCGCACCGCCGCGAGTGGAAGCCGTGCCAGTGCCCGGAACATCTCGGCGGTCTTCTCCTCGCCCGTGTCTCCTCTGTCGTCGTTGTGTCGCCATAGGCACGAGTGAGTCGCTGGCGATAAAGTGCTCGCAGAGCGCAAACACAAAATCCCACACACACCGTAGCCTGCCGAGGCCACCACAGGCAAGGGGGGGCGGGGGGGGGTGAGGGGAAGGAAAAGATCTACCTGTGTTCCCTTATGCGGATACGCTATCGTTCAGCGAGCCGACTACACATACACAGGATGGGGTGGAAGGGGGAGAGGGGGAGGGGGAGGGGGGGGGAGGCGTACCGAGAGAGGTTTGTGGGTATTCATACAATTGTTTGTACGAACGAACGGTTACGACTGAGCGAACGATTGTGACTACGAACGAACGAACGATTATGGCAACGAACGAACGAACGATTGTGACTACGAACGAACGAACGATTGTGACTACGAACGAACGAACGATTACGACAACGTATGAGCGAACGGTTACGACAACGAACGAACAAACGATAACGACAACGAACGAATAAACGATTACGACAACGAACGAATAAACGGTTACGACAACGTATGAGCGAACGAATGAACGGAGAAGTGAACGATGGTCCGCACACACATTGAACAGCCCTCGACAGCCGCCATGACAGCCATCACCACACACGCACTTCGCATCCTCCTCCTCCATCCCCTCAACCAAGCACGGCATCGTGACTCGACACGATAAAGTGGCTGTCTCCACACCGCTTGCGCCCATCGCCGATTCCGCCCGCATCACGACACTAGCATTGCTGTGGCCGGCGGCAGCGGGTCGGACTCGGGCACCGCTCTCGTGCCACCGGTCATGGACGGCGGGTCGCGGGCAGGAGGCGGGAACAGGCGCAGCGGAGAGTCTGGCAGAGTGCGGACGGTTCCGTCACGACAGGCGACGCTGTTTGGCGAGGAGGAGGTCCGCCCCTCGGTCATGGGCCACATGACCGTATTTGTGGGCGAGCTGGCCGACCTCAAGCTGCCGGCGGCGGTGGCCAGCATGCAAGGCGCAGACGGAGACGGCGGCGAGGAAGGCGGCGGGCGCGGCGATGGCGAGTGCGCAGACAACGAGCCGAGCCCGGCAAGCTTGTTGAGCGGCGGCGATGGCACGTCGGTGGCGACCACGACCATGTCCGGCACTGATGCTGCCACGGTCAGCTCGTCGACGCACAGACTCGCAGCGGCGGCTGGCCGCATCCCGACCTCGGGATACGTCCGGGTCGGCGTGCGGAATCTGATCAAGCGGACACGAGTTGTCCGCCTCAACGCCGATGGCTCGCCGTCGGCGTGGAACCAGGTGAAACACATGCCGGTTGCGGTCCCGCGCTCGGCTGCGCACCCGTTCGGCCTCGTCTCGCTCGTGCTGTACGGGCAGATCGGCTGTGCGGGGCAGGCGACGTCTGGCGAGGACGATATCGAGCTCGGCTCGGTCCTCTTCAAGCTCCACGACGTCATTCGCGTCCAGCGCGTCGTCGGCTGGTTCCCGCTCCGCGCCGCACACTTTGAGATTGGCTCCATCTACCTCGAGCTCACCTTTTCGTACGGCCTCTACGGCTACGGCTACTCGCCGCAGGTCAAGGTGCCCAACGGCGTGGCCGGCGAGGACGCAGTCAGTACCTCCCTGCTGCCACGCATCGAACCGCCAGCCCGCCGCTCCGAGGGCACCGGTCGCGCCACCATGGTCCCATCGGCGCAGCCGGCGCCACCGCTGCTGCCGGTGCCACAACCGGCAGCCATCGGCTACGCTCCCGAGATGGCGGCGGATGTCCAGGCGCTAGCTGACGCTCGCGGCGCCGCCCCGCGCTTCCCACTCGTCGCCGCCGCCATGTCGCGTCTGCCGCACCTGATGTCGGCGCTCGACTCGGCCGGTTCGCGCCAAGAGCGGCTCGGCCTCCTCCACGCCATGATCACCTCGTCGGCCGTCCAGCCCGAAGGCACCGCCGCCGAAACCTCCGCCGAGCGCACCTCCGCCTCGGCTCGCCGCCACCACTCTGCCGAGCAGACTGCGGCCTTTGCAGACTACTTTAAGCCGCTCGTCCACCGCAGAAGCGGAGCGCTGGGTGATGATGCGTCGACGTCGCTCGCTGCGCGAAACAGTGACGCCCGCAACACATCCAGAGCACAGTCGTTCCACGTCCCGTCGGCCGGCGACACCGACGATGTCACCGGTCTCCGGCGCACCTGGATGGCGACCGGCGCCGGCGCGTCGCCGTTCACCTCGTCTGAGGCCGTCCTCTCCAGCTCGGCCATCGACGAGGCTACGCGCAGCCACGACCTGCGCGTTGGTGTTCCACCCATTGTCATCCCGCCGTCGACCGAGCCCGCCATCCGCCGCGTCTCCGACTCCCCACGCGACGCTGCCGGCGACGTCGTCGCAGCTAGCATCGTCAAGAACGGGGCCGAGCCGCACCACGGCCTTGTCTTCTCCAACGATCTCCTCCCGCGGAACCGGTCCGTGGTCACGGCCGCATTGCACTCGGCCGTGGCCTCGGCCTCGGACATGGATTCACCGCGGGGACACACACCGCGGGTGGCCGCGGCCACGGGCATGACCGCCCGCCAGCGTGCTCACTCCTCTCGTCAGCTGATGCAGATGGCCTCTGGCCGCTACGCGATGCAGCGCCGCTCCTCTGTCTCCATCATGGCCGAGCGCGAGGTGCTCCAGCCCGAAGCCTCGAACGACGCCATGCAGGTGGCAGAGCCGTAAAGTGTTTACGGGGAGACTGGCTTGACCGCTGTGCCGCGGCGCGATGCCCGCCGCGACAGACGCGGCAGGTTCCGGGAGCGCGGCTTCGGGCTCGACGTGAGATCCGTCGACGGCTCGTCGCCCGACTCGCCGGTCAGGTTTCGCTGGACCGTCGACGACGACCGGGCCCGCGCGATGCGACTCTGCGAGCGACCCGAAGACGCTGTGCGCGAGAGCGAGCTGCGCCGGCGGTTCGCTGCGTCGGTGGTTGTCACGCGGGTCAGCGCCCGCGGCGAAAGCGTCCGCTGCCGGCGCGACGCCACAGTGCTTGATGCGGCCCGGACGCGGCTGACGCCTTGCGGCGAGGCGCCAGAGCGTGACACATCCCGCACCTTCTGGCTCACTCGGATGTTTGGCATTGACGTGTTGAGCGACGAGTCGAGGCAGCTCGACGTGGCCGCGCGGACGAGAACTGCCGGGCTCTGCGGCATCGCCAACTCGTCGTCTATGTCGAGCGTTGACGACAGCGAGTCGTCGATGTCGCAGATGACCATTTCGCTGCCCTCGACGGTGGCCGGCTCACTCTTGTCGAGCCGCACCAGACCGCGCAGCTCGTAGTCGGCAAACGCGGCGCTGCGGCCCTCGAGTCCTGGCACCTCGACCTGAGCGAGCACGTAGCTGGTCGCGTCGTCGTCATCGACGTCATCGCCACGGTATGTGCCCAGCGGGCGGAGCGTGCCCAGCGGGCGGAGCGTGTAGTCGAGTTCGGCAGCCGCTTCGGCGACCTTGGCGTCGACCGCAGTCGCCGACGCGCTGCGCGTCGATCATCATCGGCCCGAGGTACGAGAACCGCTGGGTGCGGGCCTCAAAGACGCGGGTGGGGATGCACGAGTGGATGCCCATGCGGACACGGAGGCCGCGAAAGACTCCGTCGCCGCGAAAGACTCCGTCGACGGTCGGGACCTTGGTATCGGCTAGAATCGGCGCTGGCCACGGCAGCTCCTGAAGCGCCGTCTGGATGGCGACGGCGGCGGTGACGGCATCGCCGCTGTTGGAGAACGCTACCACAAACGAGTCGCCTTCTGTCCGGATCACATACCCGTTGTGTACCTCGAGTATCTCGCGGAAAGTGGCGTTGTGGGCGTCGATGGCGTCGACCATGATCTCTGGATACGCCTCCCACAGGTACGTCGAGCTCTGGACGTCGGTGATGAGGACGGCGACGCGGCCCGACGGCGCAGTTGCAGCCGCCTCTTCGGCCTTTTCCTCGAGGTAGATCTTGGAGAACCGCTTGCGGTAGCGCCAGTAGAAGACAGCGAGCACGAGGAGCAAAAGAATAACGCAGGTAGCAGATGACGCCACGACAATCGGTACAATGTAGGCGGCCGACACAGCAGAGACGCGCCCGGAACACACGCCGTCGCCGCCGCACACTCCACAGTCGTCGGTGACCAGGCCCGAGTTGGAGATCGAGTCGCAGCCGGCGCAGCTGGTCCCGTTACCGCGACACACACCGCAAACATCAACGAGATGGCCACCGCCAAAGCAGACGCCACACTCGTCGACGGCAGCACCGCCGCCATTGCAGACACCGCACGCATCGAGCATGGCGTCGTTGCCAAAGCACACACCGCAGCTATCGAGATCGCGGCCGCCGCCAAAGCACACACCGCACTGGTCAACAAAGGTCGCCGACGTCAGGCCGGTCACTCCGCCGACACAGAAGCCGCACTCGTTGACCGCAGCATTGCCGCCGCACTGTCCTGCGCAGTCATAGATGGCATTCCCACCGGGCACGCCATCACACGAGAGCCGGCACGTCACGCCGGTTCCGTTGCACACGCCACAAGCATCGACGAGCGCACCGAGGCCATCGCAGCCGCCGCAGGTCGAACCGTCACCGCCGCACACGCCACAATCATCGGCAATCAGACCACCCGGGCAGCCCTCGCAGTTGCCGAAGCACACATTGCATCCGTCGCGATGAATCGACGGTGTGACGCCGGTGGTACCGCCAACACACACACCGCAGTCATCGACAAAGGCAGTGCCGTTGCACACGCCCGCGCAGTCAAAGACTACAGGCACGGTGGCGTTGGCATCACATGAGCCGTAGCACACGCCGACGGCCGAGCCACCGCACACGCCACAAGCATCAAAGTTGGCACCGCCGAGCGGGATCGGGAGCCCGTCACAGCCGAGGCACGATGTCGAGTCGCCGCCGCACACGCCGCAGACGTCGCGGACCTTGCCCGAGTTGGGCACTCTGTCGCAGCCGGCACACGTCGCGTTGTTGCCCCACGCCACGCCGCATGCATCGAGGCACGCGTTGGTACCAAAGCAGACACCGCATGCATCGATGCTGCTATCGTCTCCGAAGCAAACGCCGCAAATGTCCTGGTCCGAGTCCGGAACATGCCCGGTCCCCGGACCCGAGCACACGCCGCAGCTATCAAGGAACGCCGGCTCATCGCACGGTGGCGGTGGCGGCGGTGGCGGCGGCGGCGAGGCTGGCGGTGGCGGCGATGGAGGAGGCGAGGGTGGCGGCGGCGGCGATGGCGGCGGCGGCGATGGCGGAGGAGGAGGTGCCGGCGCTGGAGGAGGCGAGGGCGGCGGCGGGGGCGAAGGCGGCGGCGGGGGTGAAGGCGGAGGGGGAGGCGAAGGCGGAGGGGGAGGCGAAGGCGGCGGCGGGGGCGAAGGCGGCGGCGGCGGCGATGGCGGAATTACGACACACGCCCCAGGAAGCGAGGAAGCAGGCATGTAGCCAGTTGCACAAGAGTCGCAGCGGGTTGTGTTGATAGAGCAAGATCCACAAGATGGATCGCACTGCTGGCACGATTCGTAGGTAAAGCTAGACTCGGTTGTGGTGACCAGGCCGTAGCCATCGGAACAGGCATCGCACTGACCGGATGATGCCTGGCATTGGGCGCCAGGATCGTCCGGCGAGTAGCAGTTGGTCGCAATGTCACAAGCGGCACCAGTCCAGCCACTGTAGCATGAAGAGCACGGCGAGTTGCCTCCGGTTGACGGACGCGCGCATGCGGCGATGCCGTGGAAGCACGAATCGCGGACACCACATCCATTGGCCAGGCCAGAGGTGGACCCGGTGTCATCGCAGTAGACGTTGACCAAGCATGCCTTGGAGTAGTTATCGCAGACGACCGAGTCGACGGCCGACACGTGCCCGTTGACGACATGGAGGGCGGCAGAAGCCGCCGCGGAGCCATAGTTGCCGTCGATGGAGACCCAGTCGAAGCGGACAGGAGTCGGCGAGGTGGTGTTGACCATCACGCCAGCACCCGACGGCGCGTGGTTGTTGTTGATGGTGCACGAGGTGATGTTGGCTTCAGTGTCGCCGCCAACAAAAATGCCACCCCCGGAGAGCGTTGCCATGTTGTCGTCGGCGCCCGTGCTATCAAGAAAAGCGGTGCCGCCTCCAAGATAAAAGCCAGCGCCACGCTGAGCGGTGTTGAAGTCCGACGACGACTCGACCATGTAAATCGAGCCATGCGAGTAGACACCGCCGCCGCGATCGGTGGCCGTGTTGGACTCGATGAGGAACGAGTCGGCCGAGACGGAGCCGGCGTTGACGTAGAGAGCACCGCCGATGGTGGCGACGCAGTCCTTGATCGAGCCCGAGTCAAACGAGATGGCGCCGTCGACAAAGACGGCGGCGCCACGCGTGGCGGAAGATGAGCGGATGTTTGAGGCATCGCAGGAAAACTCCGAGTTGTCACCGACAAAGATGCTTCCACCCGCGTCGATGGCGATGTTCGAGCTGATCCAAACGTCGTAGAGAGTGGCGGTGACGCTTACGTCTGGGTCGTGGTACAAACCGCCGCCGTTCAAGGCGGTGTTGCCGGTGAGGTGGCCATCATACATGTCGAGCGGACCGGTGGCATAGATGCCGCCACCGGCAGACGCCAAACTCGAAGAAAGGACCCGGTTGTCGCGGACCTTGGTGAAGCGCATGTTGAGCGTCCCATCTGAAAAGATGCCACCACCTTTGTACACAGCTGTGTTCGCATCCACCAAAGTGTTGTCGCGCAAGTCGGCAACTGCGTCCGTGCCCACATATATGCCGCCACCATGCCATTGGCCTTGGTTGTTCGAGACTTCTGTGGTACCGTTGGTGACAACAGACGCGGCAGCTCGAATGTAGATGCCGCCGCCATAAGAAGCCGAATTGAGCGTGACAGAGGTCGATGTGAGAACCAGGGTGGCTGTTGTGGTGGCGTAGACTGCGCCACCAAAGATTGCAGTGTTGTCGGAGATTGTCGAGCTGATGAGGGTAACAAGAGCGTGCGGGCCCGATGCGTGGATGACGCCTCCGCGGTCGCCGGAGTTGCCAGAGATCTGCGTCGAGCCCGAGACGACAAGCTGCGAGTCGGTGAGATGGATGATGCCCGGCGCATCGGTGCCGAGACCAGTGTTGCCGGTGGCGACGACGTTGTCGAGAGTGATGAGCGTCGGATAGTTGGGTGCAGAGGCGGCGTAGATGGCACCGGCGAGGCTGGCGGAGCAGTCGGCGATGGTAGTGTCAATGATGTTGACTGTCGGAAGCGGCACGTTGCCGGAGGGACTCTCCAGCCCATTGTGCTTGATGAGCAAGCCGGTGAGGTTGCGGAATGTGGAGGAGGTGATGGTGAGATAGATGGCATCATCGATGATTCCCGACGAGAAGAACAAAGGAGACGTGTCTGAGTTGTAGGAATCGACAAAGACAAAGTCGTCAAAGTCAAGAGTGAGGGCGAAGCCCGAGGTAAGGGTCTCGATAAAGGAAAGGCGCCGGGGCCATGGAGGCCGGCAATGTGCATGGCCTCAAAGCGGACCGGGACCGCAGCATACGGCTCGATAACAAATCGAGGCATCGAGCTGGTGATCGGAGTGGAGCAAATGAAGCTTGTGCCAGTATCTGGCGACGAACCGGCGCCGCGGAGCGTAAAGGCCGCCGACGGCTCGAGCACGACAGTTGTTCCGTCACAAAACTCGTACACGCCCGGGTTGAGGCAGAGGACGTAGTCGGAGGCCGAGTTGATACCGGTTGTAATAGCAGGCGCAACTACCGCACCAAGCGAGCCGGGCCCGACTGTGGCCGAGCATGCCGGAGATGCCGCTGATGTAAGCGGCGAGGCGACAAGGACGAGGGCCAATCCGAGCGCGAACGTGACAGCAATGCGGCGAAACTGGCCGTGGCGTGTGCCAGCCGATGGTGGAATGGACGCCATCGTCATTTAGTGAGCGAATGAAAATTGGCCACGGCGGACGAGGCAGCGGTGGTGGCGTGGGAGAGGACGCCGGAGGGGAGCAGGAGGGGAAAGGAGAGGGGAAATCGAGGAGGGGGAGTGGTGGTCGTATGTGTGTGAATGCGTGCGTGTGTGGGGGGGAATGGGGAGGTGCGGTGGGTGAGTGAAATGCCGTGTGCCATGGCAGAGCCCGGGTGCGGGTGCTTGCTGACTGCGTTGTATACTCGTGGCGGTGGTGGAGCAAACGCAATTGGGTCAATGTGGTGGAGATGGGGAGTTGAAGTTGTGTCGGAATCAGAGAGGATAGCCTCACGAGATGCTGCGAGTTCGATACGGCCCTGCCGATGTCGAGGAGCATGGTGGCTGCTGTCGAACATGATTGGCAAGAGCAATGAGCGACGAGCGATGAGCACCGTGCTCAGCACGGACTCACGGCCCTTGCGAGTGGCCATCTACGGGGGGCTCAGCGTTCAACTTTGTGGCGTGGCGCAGTGCAGCTCATGTGTTCATTAAGCTGATGGTGGCCCTCACGTGTTCGTTGCTGCGGCCAATACCATCCTACGATGCGACAGTCTGGCTACTCCCGCGGTCGCTGTCTGTCGCCCAAGCGCAATCGCGCGCTGGCGGCCGTGGGCCACCTGCCACTCGCTCGCTCGACTGAGTGCTGGAGCTCCGTGTCGAGTCAGGCCAACCGCCGTCGTCGTTGCCGTGAGACGTCTCGACAAGCGTCGCGGCGCATGCGGTCATCGCCACTCGCACAGTACCACGGAGAGAGCTTTGCGGTGCAGGACTAGCTGCGTGCTTGGAAGGCGGCGATGGCGTTGTCGACATGCTGGAGGATTTCGG